CTGTATGATGTTCTACATCGCCACAAGGCTTGCAGACTTGACGATATCCCTGCAATTGTTCTAAGGAAATGTGCGTCCCAACCGTTCCTTGTTCTTTTCAAACTCTACAACAAATGCCTGGCTTCTTTCTATCTTGTTTGTTATCTTCATCAAAGATTTTTCTCAATGTCATTAGTTCCAAATTGGGTATTTATGCTGATGGCACAAACATTTTTTCCTGTCTTAATAGAAAGTGCGATTGGTCCGATAAAGCAACACAAAGTTCCAATCAGTAAATGGGCAAGAAATGGCTTGTAAATTTTAACGCCTCCAGATGAAAACTACTATATTTTAGCAGTTATAAAAAAGCAATTTTTTCTTTCCATCAGCAAAACTGATGCTAACCTCCAAGGGAGAAAATCATTAACACCTTCATTGTCTCAAGTTTTACGACTGACATGAAGTAGTCGGATTATATTGTATCAGTTGCTACGTCTGATGCTCGGAAAACTGGTTCATTGTATCGTTCATTTTTTTTTCGACAGAATCCATCTTGCAAATTTATAATTCTACCATTTTCCTGTGCAATGAATATTGCTGCCATATCTGATGTGAAGCTCTTGAATATGGCTTGACATTATCGACAAAATCCAAAGAAAAATCTCTAATGTTATCAGCCTTAACCAGTGATTTTCTCACTGGTTTGACGTGGGTTCCACGTATCTTTTCTATAAATATTTTAACGGCCACTGTTCTAATAAACGCACCACCTTGTACCTCGATTGCATGAATTTAAGATTATGAACTACATTAGTATTGTGAGACCGGAACTACCTACACAATAGACTCTTGCAGGTCTATATTAAGTATGCGACACAACACTCTAGACTGACAGACAGAGAGACAGTGAGAGCCGCGTACGACTACCAGTATTGGACACTAACATATAGTAAGCTCCGCTTACACTATCTCTGTAACCTGTTAATATATCTTTCTTACATCTAATCCGTGTTTTCCTTCTGTGGTCCCGACTTTGAAAACAGAATCAGTCAGAAAACACGTTAACTTCCAAAGCTATTAACAGTGAGTTCCATTTGAATTGAATTCATCGTAAGGCATATCCTTGTGCCATACGTAGCTAAGCTTTGTATCTGTCTATTAATCTATTGTAGTTAGAAAATTTATTTACATTATATTTATAAATATATATGGAGGGAGAGAGAGTGGAAGAGATAGGAATACGTGTATAAATTTTATGTATATGTATATATATACTTCTTGATTTATGTTTGCATGCATATATGTATATGTATGTCCAAATGAAATCTCCAGTCAATTTTGAAAATAATAGACGTAATCAAATAAATACATATGTGGCCATCTATACTTTTATGGTTGCATGCTATTAATTTCATGAACCGAATCAGAGAATGAGGGGGGGCACGTAGAAGAAAGAATGAAAGTGAGTGGGTGCGAGCGATCAACTTAGATGACTTTCGAGTATCTGGGAGGAAGTAGTTGGAAATATTTCTTTAAATTGTGTGTGTGTGTGTGTGTGTGTTTTAAATTGCAGTGTCTAATTTGGCATACTTAAGAAAATTACGTAAAATAAATATGTAGATATGAGAGTAAAATAAGTGAGTAGTTTAAATGAATAGGGCTAATGGCGCAGAAATTTATAAAAATATGGAGGAAAAACGAAATTTGTCTATTGAGAGATATGAATAAAATTAAGATAGGTATGTAAGTAGATACAGTCTGATTGAATGTAATAGATATGCAGGAACAGATATAGATTGACATAGATAGATAGATAGATAGATAGATAGATAGATAGATAGATAGATAGATAGATAGATTGAGAAATATAGATATAGACAGAGTGAGAGACTGAGAGAGCAATAGAGAGATATTAAGATCATTAAATGAATATAAACAAACAGGCTAGCTAGCTAGCTAGCTAGCTAGATAGATAGATAGATATAAACAGGGATAGATACATAGAGAGGAAGAGAGAGAAACACTAAGAGAGAGATGTGAATAGACATAGAGAGAGATTGAGTGAAAGAATGAAAGAAATAGATGAACAGACTGAGATAGATAGATAGATAGATAGATAGATAGATAGAGTGAGAGAAAGAGAGAGCAAAACAGTGATATAGAGACATATAGATAAAACTAGAATGAGATAGATAGATTTAGCGAGAGAGAGATAGAAAGAGAGAGAAACTCCGATGTAGAGTCATAAATATGAACAGACTGAGATATATATATATATATATATATATATATATATATATATATATATATATAGATAGATAGGTAGATAGATAGATAGATAGATAGATAGATACGAAAAAAACTGAGATAGATAGCAAGAAAGAAAGACTGAATGCGTATATAGATAGATAAATAGATAAACAGATAGGTAGAGAGAGAGAGAGAGAGAGAGGAAAAGTCTGAGATACATAGGAAAAGATTGTGATAGATAGATGTGAAAGACTGAGATAGATAGCAAGAAAGAAAGACTGAAATACATAGATAGATAGATAGATAGATAGATAGAGAGAGAGAGAGAGAGAGAGAGAGAGGGGGAGAGAGAGAGAGTGAGTGAGACAAAAAGAGGAAAAGTCTGAGATACATAGATAGGAAAAGATTGTGATAGATATGAAAAGAACAAGATAGATAGGAAAAGGTTGAGATAAAAAGAAAGAAAGAAACACTGAGAGACAGACATAGATAGATAGATAGAAAGAAAGAAAGAGACTGAAATAGATAGATAGAAAGAAAGAGACTGAAATAGATAGACAGAGAGAGAGAGAGAGAGAGACAGACAGACAGACAGACAGATAGATAGATAGATAGATAGATAGATAGATATCCAGAAAAGAAAAAAAAGAAAAGAGACTGAAATAGATAGATAGATGAAAATTAAGAAAGAAAGAGATTGAAATATATATATATATATATATATATATATATAGATAGATAGATAGATAGATAGATAGATAGAAAGAAAGACAGAAAGAAGGAAAGAAAGAAAGAGACTGAAATAGATAGACAGATAGATCGATAGATAGATAGATAGAAAGAAAGAGACTGAAATAGATAGATAGATAGATAGATAGATAGATAGATAGATAGAAAGAAAGAAAGAGACTGAAATTGATAGATAGATAGATAGATAGATAGATAGAAAGAAAGAAAGAAAGAAAGAAAGAAAGAGAATGAAATAGAAAGAAAGAAAGAAAGAAAGAAAGAAAGAAAGAAAGAGACTGAAATAGATAGATAGATAGATAGATAGATAGATAGATAGATAGATAGATAGATAGATTTCAGAGTTCCCCAAAGTGATAAATTTTCCGGTGGATAGAAACTGTGTTTGATGCGCCTTTTTACCCAGAAGGTCATTTATGCTTACTTTTAACAGAAACATTGATGAGAAAATTTTTGCTTTTAACTTAAGCTTCAGAACCGACCAGATGCATCAGTGGGGGTTATGTGTATTGAATTGGAGGCGGATCCTTAAGTAGAAAAATTGACAAACAGAGGAGATATAGAATAGGATGCAAAATCAGACAAAGAAAACTGACAAATCTCGGAATGAACATTCTTGTATCTACATATATTTTAAATTAATAATGAATATGAATTGAAAAAAAACACACAAAAAACGACACAATTCAGAATTTGGGAACAGAATGTGTGAAATGGGATCAATTGCCCATTACTTTCTCAAATACTAGCAATCACAACTTCCAAAATAATTGACAAAAACTATTTTCATTTTTAACAGTTCAATAAATATAGCGTTTCTATTTCTTTCAGGAGGCAGAAAATAAGAATTGTGATTTTCCAAGCGTAGCTCAGATGTGGAACAAGGCCGAAAGAATGGGGTACCCAGTGAGGATCGAACTCACTACTCAGTCATAATTGTGCTAGCAAGGCAAGCTTGCTAACCATTACACCACTTCGATAAGAATTGTGACTGCATTTTGATGATCTCTATCTATAAAATGCAGGATATGTGTGTGTGTGTGTGTGTGTGTGTGTGTGTGTGCAACGAATGCACGGCCGCAATTTTCGATGGGAAATATCAGATATTCAGGTGTCAGAAAGAATCAGGGCATATGCTAGGCTCTGAGGACACCTTTAGTAGGTCTGGCATGGAAATAATATTTAGAATATGGGAGCCATTATTAAATATAGAAAGAGAAGTGAAAGCAAAGCTCCATAGTGAACGCAGTCGAACGTGACAAGTAGTAGTAGTAGTACTACATAAAAACTAGATGACATATCTTTGGACACTGACAAGAGGAACAAGAACATTGTACCTCTGTAAATAAAATAAAGTGTTCACTTTTGAAAGGCCCTGGAGATATCCCAGATCGACAATCACCTGATAATGACGGGAGGGTACAACGCCCGAAACGTAGTTGTAACAACAACAACAACAAATATGGCGACAATCTCTATCTATAAAAGGCAGGATGTGTGTGTGTGTGTGTGTGTGTGTGTGTAACGAATGCACGGCCGCAATTTTCGACGGATTTGCACCAAAATTTACATGCACATGCTCCAAATTAGCCGGAAGGCCAAAACCGACTTTGCATTTCCCAACTCCCATCGATAGTGGAAATAATCGATTTTTTCATGCTTCTACGGCAGTTTTCATGTAGTTTGGTGCCATTTTGTACTGGCCAGAGTGAGAGCCTATAGCTGGCTGCCACGAATAGGTAGGAAGATTCTATTGGCCAGTGTCAGAGCCAACAGCTGACTGACACGAATGTTAACTAGCATGCTAGCATGCAAAAAAAAATCGATAGCTGCATTCGTCACAAGTGGGAAAAATTTAAATCTGCATGGCACTTTACTCTAATTGGCTCATTCGCTTGTGTAAACTCAACGTTAATTCTGATTCCGCAGAACTGGGTTGGGTTTGAAAAAGTATTTGTTGTTAACATTCTTTTTTCATTCGGTTTTTCCAGTTACGAGTCCTTTTTTAAAGCTGATCGTTTTGTGTTCATTTTGTTTAGTTCTTTTTTTTAAGTAACAGATTTAATGTTTAGTATAGAGCTTAGAAAAAAATTTTTTTTGGCAGTGTGAGATAGGCAAGAAGTAAGGCATGTAGCAACATCAGCACGGCAAAGGGCACTCCTTTAAAGGCAAGGAAGGGCAAAAATATTTTAAGTCAAGTGATAGCGATTGCTGGATGAGTCGTACTATTTTTTAATCAAGCACGGGCAACACCGGGCCATGCTGCTAGTTTTTTTTTTTTTTTTTTATATATATAAAAATGAATTAAATAAATAGCTACATGCAAAATTGTGTTTTTTTATTTCAATAAAAGCTTTATAGATTTCCTTTCGTTTTCTGTCAGGGTTCGACGTAAAATAAAACATTTCATTCTTGTCTAGTATATCTTATCTTATTTTTTGCTTTATATCCTATAAGTCGACTATTTTTCAATTGTTAAAGTAAAGGAGAAAAAATAAAGCTGTTGCTTTGACTCGTTATGAATTTGCATTCTCTTTAATGTGGTTATTGCCAAAATAAATGAGAACACAAAACTGAAACTTTCGAAACGTAACATTTTATTCAACGTCGGCCATTAAATGTCGGGGGGTGGGGGCGCCGGGATTCTTTCCGAACGTAGACGCTACATTGCCGTGTGGATAAATGATAGTCACTCTTCTCTAAGGTGGGTGTTTATATATCTACCCGTTATACGGCTTTTTCCTACGCGTTTACATCTTAGGTAAAGCTGAGCTGATACGTGCTTACCTATCGGGATCAGTCACTAATAATCTATGAGGCACGGATTTGCACTTGGTAGTCATATTAATCCGCCGATGCGCCTGGCAAAATTAGTTTTGACCATCATCTAGTGTAACATATAAAATACATGTGTACCCAATGCAAGGTGAGCAGATATATCTCAGGTGTTCATCTTACATGGACGTCGTTTTAACTAAATCGGACAGAGAAAAAAATCAGAGAAATGGAATCTATTGCGAGAAGTCAACAAAATAGCGTGAAGATTTGAAAAAAAGGAGATATTATGGCAATGAAGATTAAGATAATCTCTTAAAAGACTTCATGACGAAAATGCTAAAGGCAACTTCTATAACCTCTTCAAGTCAAGGGTTAATCGTTATATATCTTGTTTATCCTTATAATCATCATTTCCCATCAATTGATAAGATAGATATTGAGAGACTGAGCTAGCTATCTAGCTATGAACAGACTGAGACAGTTACGAACAGGTTGAGATAGATAGATAGATAGATAGATAGATAGATAGATAGATATGAACGGACTGAGATAGATATGAACGGACTGAGATAGATACTGAAGAAACTGATATATCAATAGAAATAGCTAGCTAGCTAGCTAGCTTGATAGATATTGACTAAACTGATAGATTGGATAGAGATAGATACATACATAATTTTCAGAAACTGTAATAGATATGAAATGAACTGAATGAGATAGATAGATATATAGATAGATAGATAGATAGATAGATAGATAGATAGATAGATAATAAAGAGACTTAGATAGATAGATAGATAGATAGATAGATAGATAGATAGATAGATAGATAATGAAGAGACTTAGATAGATAGATTGATAGATAGATAGATAATGAAGAGACAGACAGATAGATACATAGATAGATAGATAATGAAGAGACATAGATAGATAGATAGATAGATAGATAGATAGATAGATAGATAGATAGATAGATAGATAATGAAGATAGATAGATAGATAGATAGATAGATAGATAGATAGATAGATAGATAATGAAGAGACTTAAATAGATATATAGATAGATAGATAGCTAGATAGATAAATAATGAAGTGACTGAGATAGATAAATATACAGATAGATAGATAGATAGATAGATAGATAGATAATGAAGAGACTTAAATAGATATATAGATAAATAGATAGCTAGATAGATAAATAATGAAGTGACTGAGATAGATAGATAGATAGATAGATAGATAGAGGCAGTGAAAATTCGGCCGTGACACAAAGACTTGTCATGAACCTTCAAGAAAAACATCGCGAATTATTTTAATTTACTTCGTTTTATAGTTTTGTTTTAACTTCATCCTCTAAACTGTTGTATTAAATAAATTTTGTTCAACGTATTCATAAGAATTTGGCAAGTAATTGAGGTAAAGGATTACGAGGTCCTTCCAGATCTCAGCCCGATAAGAGGCCATAAGTAAATCCTTGTAGAAAATATGACTCAGGCGATCAGATTTCGTGCTGAACTCTGAAAAATAATAATCTTTAAAAAAACTCAAACAATTTTAATGCCATTTTTCAAAGAATAGCTTTTTGTTTCAACTTCATAGCTTTAAATGTTGGCTTTGAATTAATTTCTGTTCATTACAACGTTAAATGTGTTCTAAAAACGCATAAAGTTAGCCTGAAAACTGGACAAGTTCTAATTGTGTGTGTGTGTGTGTGTGTGTGTGATTTGTCGCTTAATAACAAGAAATACGAACATGAATGACAAGCTTTTGATGTCACCGCTCGGCACCACGAATGAAAAACTAGACATAAAACACATTAGAAAATGGTTTAGAATTTTCACTTAAAAAAAAAAAAAAAAAAAAAAATTGAATTTACACTCCCACCCGTTTATGCGAAATGTGATTACACTTCCACCCGTTTATGTGGAATATGATTAATTATACGTTATTTAGTCTAATTTTGACTTGAAAAATAACAGAAAAAAAATGACCGTTAAATTAACTTTTCTCCATGTTTGAAACCATATTTTTTTTTTTTACTCAAATGCTAAATTCCCGTCATGAGACTTGGAGATTAAAACAGATTATCGTTAAATGCTGAAGTTCTTCACGGAGTTTCAGTTATACACAGAGTAACTTTTGTTAAACTTTGTAATGTGCCAAAAACAGGGCCGACGCCTAGGGGTTTTCAGGTGGAGCAGTGAACTTTAAATTGGAAGGAGAGGTTGTGAGTAAGAAGAATTAGCACACACCTTCATATCGTTTTCATCAGGAGAGATCAGGATTTTCTGGCTAGCGGTATTCATCTCTAGCGACAGGTCTGAACATTAATGACCCAGAGAGACAACTGATACACACACACACATATATATATATCTGTGTGTGTATGTATATATATATATATATATATATATATATATATATATATATATATATATATATATATATATATGAATATAATATATTTCATATTAAGTGCTGGTGTTAATAAAACGGTTTTCGATGTAACATAAGGGAGCTAGTAAGTGTATATTTGGATAGAAAGGTTATATTCTCCCTGATGTTGAGCATATAGCATACATTGAAATCTATCTATCTATCTATCTATCTATCTATATATATATATATATATGTATATATATATATATATATACATACAGAGAGAGAGAGAGAAATCATTTTCAAATGCAGTTATAAAAACAAACTTTTACTACCTCACCATAACTCAGAAGACGAAGCGTTCATCATACTTATTATAAAACCCAGGTTGTGTGTGTGTGTGTGTGTGTGTCTGTACGTTTATATATTGGATCGGATTTCCTACATTTTTCAACCGATTTCAACAAAACTTCACAGGACTACGTAAAATTACCTTGCGGTGGTTCTGACAGCGTCAAAAATTGGAAAAAAACACAATTGTTTTTGCACGAAATCAATTTGAAAACACGATTAAGAGGCATCACGAGAATGAAAGGGGAAAAACTCATATCGAGTTATACTTATTATAAAACCCAGGTTTTTGTGTGTGTGTTCGTTTATATATGGGATCGGACTTCCTACATTTTTCAACTGATTTCAACAAAACTTCACTTTTTTTTTGGCAGGTAGTGTTTCTTATTGTCTTGTACACTTTTTTCTTTATTTTTACATTCAGAATGCTTTAAAAATTCCATTTACAAGACAATTGTTTATAATAAAATTCTATTCAATCGGTAGACTCATAACGATTGAAAACAATGTTTTTGTTGGAGTTTGGGTTTGACCAATTCATAAAAAAAAACAAAATACAAATTAAGACATACGTGTCCGTCAACCTTAAACAATAATCTTTGTCAATTTTATTTTTCAGTCTTTATGATGGTCGATACTTGATCTATCTCTTACTGTTACACCCCCGGGCAACGTCGGGCTCTACTGCTAGTACCCTAATAAATTTGAATTCAAATATCAAACTTTAGAACCAAACGAAATATATTAATATAAATAAATGGATTAACAATATAAGATTATAAATTAAAATACTTATAAGAAGTTAAATAAATCAGGCAGTTACTTAAACCTTTCATATGTTTTTATCTTTGGTGATTTCTTGCAATTATTCATGTAATGTCTTCAGACTCCCAATTTTTTAATGAAGTGTTAATTAGTTGATAGGAAGTTTATATTTTTACCATTTTCTGCTTGTTACCGACTGTGTGGCCGCATATTCCCCTGCTTTATGATTGAAAATACAACTGGATTATTACTATGAAAATTTCTTTTAATTTTTTTTAAAATTAAAGAATCGCTAATTGTTGCGTGAACTTAAACGGTTCATTTCATACAAAGTGCGTAAACATCTTAATAGGTATGAAGAAACTCAACAGGGGAAAGGTGACCGCAATAACTGAAGTCAATTTTTGTCTTTTTTTTTTTTTTTGAATATACTTTCACGTCCGATGTCGAATTTTCGTTTTTCTTGATTTTTTTTTTTTTTAAGAAATCATGCATATCAGATATTGTAAAATTCTTGAAAAGATTTTAACGGGTCGTCGTCGACTGATCATTGTAGAAAATATAGAGTGGAATTATCCTAACAAAACAAAACAAAAAAAAAAGATGGCGGAGATATTAAGTAAGAGAGAGAGAGAGAGAGAGAGAACGAGAGAGAGAGAGAGAGAGGGGCAAAGACAGAGAGATGGGGTGGGGAGGAAAAGACGGTATAATAACAAATAATTGGAAAAACACGAAAGGTTGCATTAAACATAAAACGAATAGAAGAAAAAGAAATCAAAAAGGAAAATAAAAAGAAAAGTGAAGGTTCAAAGATAGAAAGAAAGAAAGAAAAAATATAATAAAAAAAAATAAGCGCAATTATGGAAAGAATGGCGGGGTGGTGTGAAAGCAAGTGTTTAAGGTCTTTGATTCGATGCAAGATATACAAATTTAATAAAATTAAAAATTGATTTCATCTGATTTGATTCGAATCAACTAATTTACGGATTAAACACGATCATTTGGAATCAGATGCGAAATCTCGTTCGTAATTCACATATCTCATATTGTTCGACTTAAAACAAATCAATTCTCATGCGGAAGATAATTGTCTCTGTGAAGACTTTGACAACCGTAGCATCATTTATTTATTTATTTATCTATCGATTAATTAATTTTCCCTGTGATTAAATCGTTTAAACTTGATTATATAAATTTAATTAGCTTAAAAAAGTCAATTTATTTTAATAATAGCGAAAAGAAAGAGTAAACAAGATGGCCGAATGAGAAGTGAATTGACGTGGTCGAACGAGATATGAACGTGATTACCCGAGAGATGAACGTAGTTAAAACAAGAATCATAAAATGAACGAGACAGGACTGATGATTTCGCTGAGAATTTTGCGTGGAAAATCGAATGAAAACCTTGGGCGAGATTATTTCTTTTACAATCAGATAAAAATTATTAAATTTTAAAAGATTTAAGAAATTTAATTAAACAAATGTGCGAACGAATTTGAATAAAAAAAAAGGAAAAAAAAACACCTTGCTTTGAATTTTTATATGTTGAAGTATTCCATAATTTGTATATTTTAAATGAAGATATGAATGTGTAATAAAAATGACCGCTTAAGGAACAAGGTATAATAAATTGACCAAGGTCTTGACACTGGAAACATAATTGGGATAGGGGTTAATGTAGAACCAAGGACATCGGTTTTAGAAGATTGCTTCGCGTGTTACGCCTGCAAGTTTTGCATTCCTCAGTAATTAATTTATTTTATGGTTTTGTGTTACGATTGTTGAAAATCTGCTCATAACCTTTTTTGGAAAAAAAAGAATATTTTAAGAAAATTAGTAAATGAAGAAAGTATGTGAAATTTGAAGTGACTCTGAGCTAAAAATAAAAAAAAATAAACCGCTAGATTTTTTTTTAGCTTCAATAACAATCCATAAAGTATGTGACTTCTTCATCTCGACTTTATCTTGACAAAAGTCAGATTAAAGTAAACATAGATTATTGATGCTATGTCTGGACTGGAGCTACACAATCTTCACTTTCCAGCCAAGATATAGTTAAAAATAGTTTACGCATTCTTGTAGAAGACTTACTCTTTAGTCTGCAGTCACTTTCCAACTGACAAAACGTGACTCTATTGCTGATTCCATGGCAAATGTTCAGATGAGCACTCCATTCGCTAGTTCCATGAATTCAGACCTTTACTCCTAGGACGTATCATGCTACACGCGCACGGAGTCGAAGCACCCTTGTTTCCTTCCTGTTCAAAATAGAAGAAGGATGTTCCACTCAGACTTGGGTCTTTCTGAAAAACTGCTATTTTATGAAACCAGTCTCCATGGATGTTCCCCTGAACAATACAATCTTAACCTCTTCAAGGTAAGGACCAATCACAGACATTATTCATCAACATTTCATCTGTAACACTCTACGTTGAGTAGCTTTTTCCTTGTGTTGGGTGAAATTTATTTAAAAATATTTTAAAAATAAAATAAAAAATAATTTACTAGTTGTTTCTGCAAAAACATCGATGCAAAATATTATATATTATTATATTATATTTTTTTGTGTATTAAAAAGAAGGATTAATTTTATGTAAAACAAACGACTTTGCATCAATGCCACTAGTGCCGTACATGGAGTTCATCTATTGTCTGGGAAGATTTTCTCCCATTACGTTAAAAGTAAACACTATACGCAATCACAGCAGACATATGCAGAGGTGAAGGATGGCGTTACTGAAGTTCATTTCGGTCATTACTCTGTCTATATTCCGTTATTCACTTGCAAAAATCATCAATCCGTTTCTCCTTGTGTTTTGATATTACGCCAAATACCATGGCAACATCTATCATGAGGGATTTAAAAAAAACAAAGAGGTCTTTCTATCTCCCTTATAAGGTAGTAGCCGTATATTTGCCTGTCTAGAGAGAGAGAGATCATTTGCAAATGCAGTTATAAAAACAAACTTTTACTACGTTATTTACAACCCCACCATAACCCAGAAGACGAAGCATTCATACCCTAATAAATTTGAATTCAAATATTAAACTTTAGAAAAACAAAAAAATAATTAAGACATGCGTGTCCGTCAACCTTAAGCAATAATCTTTGTCAATTTTATTTTTCAGTCTTTATGATGGTCGATACTTGATCTATCTCTTACTGTTACATCCCCGGGCAACGCCGGGCTCTACTGCTAGTGTTAAATAAATATCGCTTTAGAATCTTCGATGAAGAAAAATCATTTTTGACATCGCTAACTTTTTGGGTCGAGATTTACAAACTCAACGGTTCGTTCAGTTTCGTAAACCGATCGATGAAATTTGAATAAACTGATTTATTTAGAAAAATACTTTAACCCAAAAACCTGCTTCGTATTTTTTTTTGTAAAACCAGCTCTATTTTTGTAACCCCTTACCTGTTTACACTTCTCCCCCAAATTTAGTTTCGATCGATCAATGTATTGCTATTTTAAACGGTGTGACGGAAGTCACAGAATTTTATATATAGATTCTGACAAAAAGGCATTGAAAATAGATACTTTACAACAAGGTAAAATGCGAAATGAACAACTATTGACCATTTCAAAAACGGGTCTTCATTTTTATACTATTGTTTACTTAGTATAATAGTCCTATCCCGAGTACATGTCATAGTGCATCCTAACTGTGACGGTTTGGACTGGTGAAGATAATATATGTAGCACATCTGAAATCACACTTATTATAAAACCCAGGTTGTGTGTGTCTGTACGTTTATATATTGGATCGGATTTCCTACATTTTTCAACCGATTTCAACAAAACTTCACAGGACGACGTAAAATTACCTTGCGGTGGTTCTGACAGCGCCAAAAATTGGAAAAACACAATTGTTTTTGTACGAAATCAATTTGAAAACACGATTAAGAGGCATCGCGAGAATGAAAAGGGGACAACTCATATCGAGTTATACTTATTATAAAACCCAGGTTGTTTGTGTGTGTGTGTGTGTGTGTGTGTGTGTTCGTTTATATATGGAATCAGATTTCCTACATTTTTCAACCGATTTCAACAAAACTTCATTTTTTTTGGCAGGTAGTGTTTCTTATTGTCTTGCACACTTTTTTCTTTATTTTTACATTCAGAATGCTTTAAAAATTTCATTTAGAAGACAATTGTTTATAATAAAATTCTATTCAATCGGTAGACTCATAACGATTGAAAACAATGTTTTTGATTGAGTTTGGGTTTGACCAATTCGTAAAAAAAAACAAAAAAACAAAAAAAAAACTAAGACATGCGTGTCCGTCAACCTTAAACAATAATCTTTGTCAATTTTATTTTTCAGTCTTTATGATGGTCGATACTTGATCTATCTCTTACTGTTACATCCCCGGGCAACGTCGGGCTCTACTGCTAGTACCCTAATAAATTTGAATTCAAATATCAAACTTTAGAACCAAACGAAATATATTAATATAAATAAATGGATTAACAATATAAGATTATAAATTAAAATACTTATAAGAAGTTAAATAAATCAGGCAGTTACTTAAACCTTTCATATGTTTTTATCTTTGGTGATTTCTTGCAATTATTCATGTAATGTCTTCAGACTCCCAATTTTTTAATGAAGTGTTAATTAGTTGATAGGAAGTTTATATTTTTACCATTTTCTGCTTGTTACCGACTGTGTGGCCGCATATTCCCCTGCTTTATGATTGAAAATACAACTGGATTATTACTACTGCTAGTCTGCTATAATAATAGCGATAGAGGAGAGTGTAGCTTGTAGAGGTTCTCCTATGATAAAGGAATTGAAGTGTAGAAAATAATTCATCACCCACAAGGCCGCATCTGTCAAAGTTAGAAAGTGAGTATTGCTCATTCAAAGAAACTGATGCAGTGTATATAGCATTATTGGAAATGAGTTATTTCCAGGGTTGCCGAATTCTTTGAGTAATCGTCTGTTAATTATTCTAACTGCTTTCTAACTTGTACTGATTATCATTTCTTTTCAGATAAATGATTAAAAACTTCAAGTTTGACACAGCAAATGAAAAGACACACTGTAATCGTTGTCTTGATTTAGAGATTGCTTCTGAAAGTTGTACAGTTGTTTTTTGAAAAAAAGATCAGAAGGAGCTGTAAGCCGCTGACGAGGATTCTTCATTAATAAGCAACAATGAAACGCCTGCTGTGGATACAATCAGAACACAAAAATGAAAGGTGCGTAAAATGATCGATAAGAAAGTCAACGCCATTGGCAAGGAAAACAAGTTCTCAAGGCACGCTATCGGAAGGATTACGTGTACGTTCGATACACGTCATCGGTGATTCACTAAGATCACTTCATGTCTCCAAAGATAAAATATATCTGTCTGATACGCGCAAAGTGCCTGTTGAGTATGTTAAAGCATCAAGAATCCGGAAGGCGTTGGTTTTTCTCTGTTGGGAAGACCAAAAGGTCAACCGGATGACAGATGTTCATGCAGAGACCCTAAGGATATGCTAACCGCGATGCACACAATGTCTCTGGTAGCTGTGATGATTCTGAGAGTCGTGAGCCTCTTCACTCCTTTCACCAGGGCTTAAGGGTCAATGGTACTCACAATAAGGAGGCATTGGATAGGGTGTGAGGCCTTGAGAATGTGAGCAAAGGAAGACCATATAACTATCAACAACACTCTGTACCGCCTCACAAGCCCAAGACGGTTCAAGAATGAATGGATTACAATCTCTCCGATCACGTCACCCTACACATATGGTC